CAGGGCGCAGGGGGTGGCGGGGTCAATGCTGGCCCCCAACCCAGGCTGCCAGAGAAAGAGATGGGGCTGCAAGGACTGGCACCCGCCCCAGTCACAGCCCTTCCTCTTCACAATAAGGCAGAAGGCACCCTCCAATTAGCCTTTTAATTACCTCCTGTAATCAAAGTCTTAGAAAATCACCACCATAGATACATTCCCGGGGTAGCAGGCACTCCCAGCCGGCGCGGCCCCACGCCTGCCCGGACAGCGGCCCCCAAGGCTGCACAGGCAGCACTGGGACTCGCCCACTGTGCCAACCCCCATAATTAATTTCCCACAAGAGGACTATTTCATATAAAGCATTTGGCTGGAAAAGGGCTCAGAGCAGGCAGCTGGCAGGGCTAGGCAGAGCCTGCCACCCTGCACTGCTCTGCCACCCCCCCTGGGTGCCAGGCTGGCTTGGGGAGGCAGGGGCTGTGCCCAGCGTGGCAGGGCGGAGCTGAGGGAGCGCTCCTGCTGCGGGCACAGACACCAGGGCCAGCTGCCCCGCAGCCCTGCACGGCTCTGCCCTCCCACCCAGCCCTTCGGGCTGTGCCAGGCCACCCCAGTGCCCCCGCGGGAGCAGGGGGGGTGGGGGTGGGGTGGGGGTGTGGGACAGGACGGGACGACGACGACGACGGGACGGGACGGGACACGAGCCCTGCTTCCGAAAGGGGCTGCGGGAGCTCTGTGAGATCCCCTCCTACCATGCCACGCGGAGCCCCAGCCGCAGAGCAGGCACACAGCAGCACGCCACCACCTCCCCCCCGCTCTTCTTTTATCCTTCTTCTTTTTGGTTAAAAAAATAAAAGAGGGGGCAGCCCCCAGCGGGGCAGCTCCAGGCATTAAATACTCTGCTGTACATGAATAAAAGCCCAAGGGCGGGGGCACTTGCCCCTCACAGTGCTGGGTCTGCAGTCCAGGTGGGCTGGGGGCTCTGCCCCCCTCCGCCCGTCACAGCACATCTGCCCGCTTGTCCCGCACCCGGCTCCGGGCTTTTGTGCGGGCTTTGAAGGCAGCCGAGTTGTAGAGGTGCTGGAAGGGGAGGGAAGGAGAGATGGGTTAGGGGGTGCCCCTCTGCTCACGCCCCCACCGGTGCCCACCGTGCTCAGGGCTCCACGGTCACAGGCAGGTGCGCGGCTGGAGCTCGCGGTGGCGTGGGAGGGGACTGCGGGCACAAATCTGGGTGGGGGCACCCACCTTCTCGAAGCGGGAGACCTTGCTGGCTTTCAGAGCAGCCGCATCCAGCACCAAGGGGGGCCCGAGGCCGAAGATCTCCCGTAGCAGCTCGTTGTTCTGTGGAAGCAGGGGCCTGTCAGCACCTGCCAGCACCGGCCCAGCACCCCCTAGCGTGGCCGCCCGGCCCCTACCTGGAGGTGGTGGCGGATGCCGGAGCCCAGCACCTCTTTAAAGGCTTGGTAGGTCCGCTGGCGTGCCCAGCTGTCCAGGTACATGCACTCCAGGCCAAATCGGATGGTCTCCTCCTGGTACTCCCCGCTCTGAGCGGAGAGAGGGGCATCAGCAATAACCTGGGCACCAGCCCTGTGCATCCCCCGGCTCTCAGCAGAGAGAGGGGAATCACCAGGCATCTGGGCAGCAGCTGCACAGCCACAGGCTCAGCAGGGAAGGGTATCGCCAGCCTCTGGTTACCTCGATGAAGCGCAGGATGTCCCGGAAGATGGAGCGCTGCTTCCGTCGGTCCGTCTTGGCTCGGTACTTGTTGCTCTCGGTAGCCAGGACCTTGAGCTGGGCACGCAGGAACTCTGTATCTTGGTGGCACAAGTCCTCCTGCCAAAAAAACAGGGGCATTTGGAGATGCAGCTCTGGGCACTGCCCACCGCTGCCATCACCAGGACAGGGCTGGGGGATCACCAGGGCCAGCCCCTCTGCTTGGGCACCTGCTGGTGACGCCAGCCTGATGCATCCCGCCATCAGTGCCAGCTCAGCCGGGGCAGGGGCAGGGTCCCGGTGCCAGCAGCTCCCTGCCGCTCTGCTGCCCGCCCACCTGCGGGCACAGCGCCACCCCCCCCCCCCCCACCCACAGCGCCCCGCCGTACCTCCATGTCCTGAGCCAGCTCAAAGACCAGCGCGATGGTTTCCCCAGCCAGGATGCGCAGCGCGACGCTGCTGCTGGACAGCAGCGGGGGCAGCTTCAGCCAGCGACTGGGGCAGGAAGGCAGGAGGGGAGTCAGGGGGGCCGGGCGCCACCCCTGTGGCACCCCTCTCCACAGCCAGCTGCCCCGCACCAGCCCCCGCACCCCCCCCACCCACTCACTTGTCCAAGATGCTCTTGATGTGGGAGGGGGGGCAGATGGTGAGGAGCAGGGACCACGACTGGAGCGCGCTGCAGTGCAGAGGGCCGTGCTGGGCAGGTGCCAAGCCCCCCTCGCCTGCGCTGGGGGGGCTGAAGACGCTCTCCAAGCAGGACAGGCACAAGACCAGGTCCTGGAGGGGGGAAACCCACCCGTCAGGCCACAGCTGCCAGGAAGACGCCAAAGCGTCGCGACGCATGGTCGCCCATGCACTGGGGACTGAAGGGGACCCACCCTGCCCAGGGACACCCCCTCGGCAGGAGAGACTCCTCCACCCGGGACACCCCATCTCTGCAAGGTGGGCTTCATCCCCCCAGCTCAGCTCCACGCTGCCCAGGGAAGGGGCCTGGGCTGTCACTGATGTCCCCATGTGCCTTCCACTGCTCAACTCCAAGCTGCCCTGGCACCATGGGCCGAGGGCGGGTGGCACAGCAGCCCCCGGGGTGCCCTCCGGCAGGGGTACAGACAACACCTGGGCGCAGTTACCTCGAGGTCAGCAGCGGCAATGTAGCAACACATGCCCAGGGCCGTGGCACACTGGCGAGAGATGCAGGGGAAAGGCAAGTCAGAGGAGGCAGCACCGGGCCAGATCCAGTACCCAGCCAAGGGGAAGCAGGGTCAGGGTGTCCCTGCTTTACCCCACTGCTCCCCACAGCACCCAATCCTGCCACCCTCCCGCGACTGCAGGGGCCCCCGAAGGCATCGCCTGGGCTCTCCCCACCGCCAAGGTGCCCCCCACACCCAGGAGGAAAGGGGCTGGGCCTTACGCTCTGCCGGGCGCTGGGGCTGGCCGTGCTGTCTGTCAGGACGCTGATGAGCAGGGGCTTCAGGCTGCGAAACACCTCTTCCCCCTCTGGGCCGGAGCCCATCTGGAGGCAGAGGAGGGTGAGGACAGTGCCCGCCAGCGCCTGTTCCTCCCCTTTACCTGCGGGCAGCACGAGAGACCTCCCTCAGACACTGGTCACCGGCCCCGCCACCCCCAGCCCTGGCGCCCGCCCACACCCAGACCTTTCTTGAGACACTTCTCCAGGGAGTCGGTGAGCATGAGGCGACGCTCCAGCAGGAACTCGGAGAGGGTTTTGGAGGAGAAGGCCAGGCGCAGGCTCTGCAGTGCCACCTGCCGCGTCTTGGCGCTGGGAGAGACCCTCCAGCAGGACTCGGAGAGGGTTTTGGAGGAGAAGGCCAGGCGCAGGCTCTGCAGTGCCCCCTGCCGCGTC